GTCCAAAACAGATGTGAGCGCAACAGTTAGAGAGATGTCATGAGAGTATGGGCTAAAACTCTCTCTAACATTAATGTCGGTATAAAGAATGGAGAGGTAAGTCCAATCAAGGAAATCAAGAAAGACATACTCGTTAAAATGTAAATCTAGAAGAGCAACTCCTAAAATAGACTCCAATAAAATAAGAGGAGGCACATTATTCAAATTAGGCTCATAAACTTTCAGACTCAAATTACTGTCTTCTGAACTTATATTACTATCCTCAATAGAATTTGATTTAGTTATAACCCTAAGATCAATGGATTCGGGGTCAATTAAGTCGGGGTTTAATTCATGTAGTAAATTCAATTGACTCAATTCCAACTTAAGACTATCCACGTTGCCATCAGAATTTCAAATTAAATCAGAATTATTCGGAATCATCTCAGTGGGAGATACAATTAAATCAGAATCTTCCGAATTTAATTTCAATGTGTTAACGGGCAGATCAGCTCCTTTCGAGATCAAATTAATATCATCTAGGAAGACTTTATCCAAATAGATGTCATTTAGGAGACTAGGATCAGGGTGGGCTAAGGTGTCAACATTTAAAGGTTCTAACTTTCCTAGATCAAGGTTTAAGTGATGCCGGGAGTCTGATTCAATCAGTTCAATTTCATCCTCAAATAAGTCATCATTATCAATAATATCATTAGTATCCACGAAATGGGTGTACTCAGCCTCAGGTTCAGGAAGCTTTTGATCTTTGTCGTGTTTCTTTTAGGTACAATTCCACTTGAACGGTCAAAGATTGGGGATACCAAAGGTTGGGTAGCCTTAGAATCCTTAATGCTTTTAAAGGTGGTAAAGTTACGTGGCGAGGCGAATCGGGATCCACTACGCAGAGAGGATGCGTGTTCAGACAAGGTTGACTGGGATGGCTAGGAGTCAGCCCAAGTGGGGATTCATATGAGACAGATCCAACAGAAGACCCAATAGAGGGTCGACCATCAAGGCTAGGTGAAGACCTACAGGGTGGGGCAGCGACCCTGATATTACTAAAGGATGGGTTGTCATAAGTAGGTGAAAGATATTTTAATCCAAATTCTCATCTCATGCTTTTCCAATCGGAAGTAGGGTATTCGCCACAAGACTCTTTATGACCTTCCAACCTCATCCAAAATTGGCAAGCACTACCGTTCAGGTGAGACTTAGCAATGCTAAACTGGCAGGACTTAGGAATATCAGGTGATTCAAAATAGTCCTCTAATTGTCTAACTCATTTCCTAAAGTAGTAAGGGTCCGAGGAACCATCAAAGGTGGGTAGACGATAAAGTGACTTTAAGTGAGGTTGTTGTGGCTTAGGTTCAGGTCTAGGTTGATAAGAGGAGTGGGTCACCTTCCGACTAGTATGAATGACCGAATGGGGCAGTACTTAGATTGGGGAGAGTCAACATGTTTCTCCTTCATAGTTTTAGTCATAGATCCCACTAGATTAACGAGGTCATCTAACTTCTTTTGAAGTCCTATCGGGTCCATTGTGAAGCGCTAAGTGATGCCTAATGAAGAGTGGGTATAAGGGGCAACACTCTACAAGGAGAAAAGGCCATTATGACATGCTATATGGTGGAAATTACTGGACAGCAAGCTACACTAGTGGTTTTAAGTCATTAGGTGTTTAGGAAGGTTGCTAAGGCTCAGACAGCACTAAGACACTAAATGTGCACACCTACAATGCAACTAAATGATGCAGAAATGACAAAAACAGCAAGCAACAACAATGGGTTAAGTTGCCTTGATGTTTAGGTGGGTTGCTAGGGTGTAGGCACCTAAATACTAGGTTATACTCACCTAAAGGCCACTAAAAGATGCAGAAAATTTCTGGACAGCTAGATAGCTAAAGTTTTAAAGTTTTTTTAGGTGATGACATGCATGTAGCAATAACTACGACTGAATATGTCGTTCCTTAGGATGACTTCTAGCATAAATGATGCATGCTAGCCATGCTCTGATATCAAATATGATGTGAAATCATGCAAGGAAAATAAGAACTGCTTGGGGATTTTAATATTTGATTAGTAAAGCTTTGCTAGTTATAGACCGTGTTTTCCCAAGTTAGGTTCTCAGAATTATCAATTAGAAATTATGTAATGCATGTGGTTACAACAAGATTAATGGGATGCTCTCAGTTTAAAAACATTAAATAGAGAAAGTAATTTTACGGCAAAAACACTAATCCACGGTTTAACAAATAGATTTGCTCACCTTGGGTCCCTCACTCACACTCGTCGGAAGTACTTTAGTGGAGGAAGATTGAGAACAAACTTAGCGATGCCACTAGAAGACAAATGACACCCAATGTGTAGTTCATTGGAGAGGTTGCCGGCGGCGGGGAATCCACGAGTTGACTAGAGAGTATCCAACACCCGGTAGGAATGTGCTCTTTGATGGAAGGTACCAGCATGAAGAGGATGCGATTTAAATAATCGTCCACGGAAGCATCCACGTCTAGGTTCACGTCGAAGAAAGGAGATTCGAGAATGTTTGTTCATCCTTGATCAGCATAGAAGAAGCCATGGTCGACTTCTGGAACAGCCATGCATAGCGGTGGTGGCGGTTGGAGAAGAACAATCTTGAGGAGGAAGGGAGAGGATGATGGGACAACGATGACTTGGGGGGGGGGGGGGGAGGGGGGGGCCGGGCCCCAGGGGCGGCTAGGGTTAGGGTTTCTTTTGGGTCAAGCCAAGTGGTTTGGGGGGAAAAGGTGAGAGGAAAAATTTGAATTCTAAATTTCATATTTTCATTAGAGAGGGAGAGCCAAAATGAAATTCAAATCAACTCAATTAAGGGATTAATGGGTCGGCGACTATTAGGGGATTTAGGGGTGGGATTAATTGTTTCTTAGGTGGCAAAGTGAATAGAGAGAGGGGAGAGAGAGGGGGCCGGCCCTATGGGGTTTAAATTTATGTCTAGGTTCAATGTAAGTGGGGCCCGATTGATTGAATAATTAATTAAATCAAATTCTGAATTAAATTCAGATTTGATTAGATTTGAATGGTTTCCTAATTGGGTTTTATCATTTAGGGAGGCATTTGAAATTCAAATTTCAAATTGAATTTCAATTAGGAAACTTTCTAAATGACAAGGTGACAATTTAGGAAAATAATGAAAGCCTGCTTGAATTTGAAAATCAAATTCCAATGCTTGGCATTGGGTTGGTCTACGAGTGGGGATGCAATGGGGGATCGGTGGCTTGGGTGTTGGCTCCAGTGGAAGGGGGTGGGCAATTTGGGCCGGACTGGTAATGGAGGATGAGATCTGACGGCTAAGGGAAGGGGGAGGCCTGGGGATTGTTGGCCGGTGGTAAGGAGGTGGATTTGGGGGTGCCAGCAGCTAGGAGAAAAGGGAGGAAAAGAAAGAAAAATCAAAGAACCAAGAGCTCCCACGAAGGGGGCTGTTGGCTAGTCCGTGTGAGCCTCTCCTAGGCTACTCCTCTCCTCTAGAACTCACAAAGAGATCTTGAGCAAAAGCTGAATTTTTTTTCATATCAATAATCATCATCCTCATACAAAGTAAAATACCTCTATATATAGGTCTCAACAAAAGAAAACAAAATGACTCATATGCCCTATGGGATATAACAAAGACTCAAAACCCCATAAGGTAAACTAGTAAACTGAAAATATCAAATAGAACGATACATGAAAATAAATCAAAGATATAGGCTCTGATTCGTAGTCGTCGATCTACGATTCCTCCGTTGGTACACGTGTTGAAATCTCTGACTGATGTCCTCATCAGTCATACACATGGTTTAAAATTGCGCAATATGAGGCTCGCCTTGAGGCCCACCTTTGCGCAATTCCAGTATAAAACGCCTTGATGCTTACACCTCGAGTTTTTTTATGAGGCTTGCGCCTCAACTTGGTTGAGGCCCGCCTCGCCTCACGCTATATATATTAAAACTTACATAAATTTTGAAGTAAATGTCCGACATTGGATTCTATAGGAGAGGAGGAAGGGGAGAGTGCAGTTCACCATAATGATGATTCAAATGAAGAAGCCCTTAGTGATGACAGTGCTGATGACTTATGAGTTTTTATGTGATATATCATTGCTATTTATTTTTGGAAATTGTAATTATATGTTAATAAAAAGAATACTAGGATTTGGAAAAGACAGAATTTTGAGTTGAACTATATTTCATTTTGTCTTATTATTGAGATATTTTGATTTCACTTCATATATTATGCTTTTTTATGTTTTTTATTATTTACTCATTAGTATATAAAAAATTTATCATTTTATGTTTACGCAATCTTTTGATTTTGAGGCTTATGCCTCAAAAAGCCTTGAGGCTTACGCCTCTCCTCACGAATGAAAAACGCCTCAATACCCGAATACGCAATTTTAAACATTGGTCATACAAGGATTTTCAGGAGAAAACTGTTGCAGCAAATAAGAACAACTTAAATATTTTACCCTTATAAAGGATAATATATGCCCAAATAAGGTTTCTTCAATGAAATAAAGCCCATAGAATGATTATCTTTCCTGATTTCAAGAAATAACTCTAGATTAAAGAGACTTGATGATTTATAATGTCTTAGGTTCTTGAGTTTTAGTTTATATCTAGAAAGATTTATGGACATTTGGGTTTGCTAATTTGGCCTAATCAGAAGTCAATAGCATAATATTAGATATACTTTAAGGGAGGGAATCAATGGATGCATTACTTTCTTATCAAAAAATGATTCGAGACGGCTTAAAAAAAAACACTTTCAAGCATAAAATATATCCTTTATAAGGGAAAGAACAAATGGTTCATGATGTTTAGAATGATTTCCTTTTCTAATTTACAGACACAATCAATATTTTTTTTATCACAAATATGATCATTATGCAGGTTCCCTTCATATGAAAAGACACAAAATACATAAAAATAGAAGCAAACATGCGAATTATGATATGTACAATGAATGCATAAACATAAAAGTATGACTATGTACACAAGTTCAAACCTCTGTGAGCCTGGGGGAATATTCGAGATAGAAAGCTTGTCTAGATCACTAAAAGTTAGATCTTTGCGATGATCCAAATATCGGCCGGTCACATTAACTGGCACCAAAACGGCAAAGGCCAGCACGGAAAGAGGAACAAATATCTTCAATCTGCATTATAAATCAAAACTTAGTTGTAAATTCTAAGAAGTGTAAACGTTTAGGTCTGAAAATATCGATATAAAAGTAGAAAAAAAAGGACATGATTATAGCATTCTTACATTGCATTATGAATCCAAACTAGTTTGTAAATTTTAGATATGTAAAAGTTCAAATCTGTAAATATTGATGTAAAAGAAGAAAAAGAAAAGGAAATTTTAATAACAGTAGTCAATCATATTCCACAATAAAATAACGAAATTTTTTTATTATAAGCAGTTAAGCATCAACTTGAATTTGAAAAAAAAAACAAAACAATAAACTTAACTGCTTATATCAGATGGATTCATTGACCACATATATTGCAGGTATTAAGTGTTGAGTAACAGAATACGAGGAGACTATGATCACTTGGTGTATGTATTTGGTTAGGAAATCATGAAGAAGATAACTGCAATTGAGCATACTCACCCAAGTAGATATATTCTGATATACATAGCCGAATCAAATCCTGCATGATCAATAAGCTCCGGCTCTGGCATTTGTAATGCTGCTGGCATCCAACTCAAAAATTTTATATATGTCCTGCAGTCCAAATTAACAAATTTTTTTACAGAACCTCCTGAATGCGTTGGGCTGCTTCTTATCCCTTTAAGGTACCACTTGGGAAAGTATACTCTATCATTGAATGGCTGAAGCCTTAATATAGCAAACGCCACAAAGAAGGCAAACGCTGATAGAATATTGATAGCCGCAGCCATACAGATATCTCCAATTGTTGCCATATGTTGCTCGGAAAACTAGTTCTCCTGAAGGATTGTAGCATATGAAATAGTTCTGGCAAATAATGAGTAAATGTTGGTAACATTAGCCAACCAATGGACACTTTAGAAACGAAGATTTAGGAGCTTCATACTTCAAAACTATGATATCAAAGTGAAACATGGTTATCAATTTTGGTTATGAATATGTACAATACGAAAGAAAAAGGCACTAGAGTGTACTAACCAGCTAAGCTCTACAATAGGGGAGGTCTCTGAATTTTTGGTAAGATTCTATTGCAATATTATTTGGATAACTCCAATAGGTACAAGAGAAAAAACTTGAAACTGATAAAATGACAAAACTAATCAAGAGCATTCGTGTGCTTGTATAGCAATGGTCAGGAAATTATTGCTGCATTTTATTCTCGCCATCGCCTAAAGTGCAGTTTGGCAATTATCTTTTGTGTTGTTATTGGTTGTGTTGATTTGTCCTATTCTGAGTTGAGTTTTTCCGTCGAGTAAAGCATATGTTGCTTGGTAAAACCGTTGTCTAAATATAGTAAATGAACCAATCTGGCAAAAACTACTATGAGAGTAAAGCAAATTGGTTAAATAACCAATGCAATCATTATTATAAATAATAAATGAAATAAAGTACATTTATTTAAAATTTATAATATGTTTATTTGTTAAATTAACGTAATATATTAATTTTATAATTATGCACATATAAATTAAATAAATTTTAGAAAATGAACTAATTAGTTATGTTATGACAGGTGTTGTAATAATATGTAATTTTAATGATTTTTTTATGAAGTCTATTCATTATATCTTACGAGATGATTAAAATGAAATGAGATTAACCAAGAAAAAAAATTAGGATATTGGAGGCTTAGAAAGCCAGTCACAGGCATTGCCTTAAAACTTCTTAAAGATGCTTTAAACAAAAGTGAGTTCAAAGAAAACATGCTTGTTCAACTTTTTGATAACCCTCATATTTTTGCTTTCATGAAATTGATTTTTTCGTACAACTGGCAAGCCATTCACCAAATCTGATTGTTATGTCTAGAAAACTACGACTAGTAATGAAAAGCAATCGCAAACAGAGTCCGGAACTTCATCATATGTTAGTACATGACATTAGATTGAAAAGAAAATCATAAACAAGCAATGAAAATGCCATTAGGTGAATCATGATATCAGTAGCTTGTTTCATAGAGCAACATCCTCTACCTATATGTATGCAGAAACATATATTAATTTCAATTCATTCAGTAAATATTAACACATAATTTCAAATATTCTTTCTTCATATTTTCATCTTAGAGTGCAATGATTCTGATAGGGCTTTTTCCATATGCCAGACAGAATCCTATCATATTTTGAAAATGGCCACTGATCTGCTTGGTTGCTAAACCTAAATAATTTTATTCACAAACTTTTATCTATATCATGTCATCTGGGAACTGTAAAATTATACTAGTCTGGTAGATGTTGCTTACTATGCAAACCAAGGGTTGGCAAGATGACCGGAATCAGCCATTCTTGTCACATAAATGCACAGGCGCACATGCATACACACACAAAGAGAGAAAGAAAGATGGAGAGGATTAATGGTTTGCTATCAGCAAGAACTTTTAATTGAAATTGAAGAATAAGTAAATATAGGTTAAAAGAACTTCCCAATGTGCCCATTTAGCTCATGGTCAGATTCGATCATAGCAGATGCATTCCATTAACTAAAAAAATTAAATTTTACTCAAAACATATTGAGATTCCAAAGAAGTTATTGTTTAAGCAAACTTCATGATGAAATGTAAAAAATCTCCTAACCACCAAAAGTTTGATTTTAATTAAAGCTTCTACCACTTCTTGTTAAGCCAAAGAAGATCCAAGAGTCACAGAATTTCTATGCTATTTTGGCCAACTAGGCTCTAGCTAGACAATTACTCTTAAGGAAAATAAAGGCCATCCAAGCGTCAGGCAAATCAGAGTTTAAAAAGTTTGCTAAAAAATATTCAAACTTGAACTTCACAAACTCCTATCGAAGAAACAGGAGCGGCTATGCTTAAAAGGGTTAAGCATAATAGGTAAGAGGATAAATATAAATAAAGTTGCAAAACGACAAAAATGAAAATTTATGGAAAAATCTAGCATTTCTTCTTCCTTATTTTTTTCTGAGAAGTATCTTTAATTATATTATGGTGTTAAAATTACTAGTATTTTTTTCTCGAAGTTCATTCCATTAAAACGTTTGTACTGCCTATATTTATTTTCTTCACCTGGATAACGCAAAATATTTAGGAGCATAATGGGAAAATGCGTTAGAGCACAATGAATGGCTTCATTGTACGGAACTTCTAAACCTAAACAAATAAAGGAACATTCAATGAGGGATTTGCAAGCATAACTTATCATTATAAGTGCTGTAATTAGCAATTATCTGCAAACTGCACAAGGAGTTGAAACGATTTCTGGGAAAGCATATTTCAATAGAGCTATTTTCACCCAAAGCTAAATGTGGAAAAAAGGTTAAATATATTAGTAAAAGGGTACTTATGCAAATCTTTTATGGGTTGTTTGATTATAAATAGTTTATCAAGTTCAATCCAGTATAAAATGAAAAGAAGGAACAAACTACAAATTTATCCAACACAGACACGCATCCAATAATATTCTGACATGGCGAAGATGTGTCCAATTAAAATAATATTTAAATAAAATTAAACACATGTATCCGATATATGCCTTTTTTACAAATTATTTTTAAATATAATTTCTAAAGATTATTTTTTTTAATAAAATTATTACTCATGCATCAACAAAACACTCTCTCGCACCATAAACATTTTCATTGTGTCTCACGGCTAGGGTTTTATATCTTTGTTCGGATGTGGCTTGACGATGACATTGGCATCGCATAGATGCCAAACACAGCTCGACAATGTCGTCTGACTTACCCTGAACAATCACACCCTCACGCTGCTACATCTTCTTGCCATCTCCACATCTCAATGACGACATCCAACATCGTCTCAATTTGATGGCCAGCACCACCTCAGCATCAATGCTCTCTCAACAACAATGTCACCTTCCCTATTGATGTTAAAGCACATGCAAGAGTTTCAAAATCCGGACACCTTTCTCTCATAATCCACAATCCATCAATGATAAGAGACATTTCTCCCCATATAAAAAAAATCATTTTTTTTCATATTTAAATGACTGTAAGGGACACTTCTCCTAATATGGACCATTGATTGAAAATTTAGATCTACATGAGAGAAAAATAATAAGAGAAAAGTAAAAAGCTACATTAAAAATAGAAGGAAAAATTTAGTTGTAATTTTAATTCATTGCCTTTTGAATTTCATGTATTATTTTCCACACAAAAATTTTAGTTTTTGAATTTTCATTGGTATGATAATTTAAATTTAAGATTCTATTATAATTTTGAAATGTATTCTAATAGGATAATGAGCTCTAGTGGTGGTTAATCTAGAAGTGATGATAGCTTAGTAGAGCCTAAAGTTAAAAACAATAAGTCTTTGTAAAACTTTATAAGAGAAAAGGACCAAAACAATCCTCAACTCTTTGTGAGGGGCCAAAATGGTTCACAACCTTTCTAAGGGATCAATTTGGTGCCTCAACTTCTTAAAATGGGACCTATTTGGTCCTCCCGTTAATTTTTAACAGGACATTTAGATCTACCAAACACACCGTGAGGGTATAATTGGAAAAATAAATTATAGGGCCTTTTCATTATACGCACAGCAGTGAATCGTTGGAAACCCTCCAGTAAAGTCGAAACCCCAGCTACATACGACTCCCATGTCTCACAACACAGTGAGACAGTTTCATTCCACAGCGCACGTCGAACGCAATTTGACCACAGTGTCCCGCGCACTTCTCAATTGCCACTCTCACAACCCTAGCGAGTGTCTGAAGCCCTAGAAAGTCATTGATCGAGCACTAAGCGTCAATCACATCGAACACCAAAGAGCTTCTTTCGAGCGGGATCATCGATTGTGCACTTCCATTAACATCTCAAGTGCAGCACATAGTTGTCTTGCGGGTATTTCATGGCTTTCCTGTTGGATTTCGACGCTTTATTTGGATTGTTTATAGGCAAAAATGATTAGAAATCATGAAATTAATGAGTTGATTTTGATTAATCCTTTTTACAACAGAAATTTTGTTATGGATTCATCGTTGTTCATCGCACCGACCTCGTCCACTACCCGGAGCTAAGAGCATCCTTGAATTTGAGCCATAGAGCATACATTTCATAAAAAATTTAAAATTAAAATTGAAATTATTAATAATTTGTTTTACTAAAGAAATGTTTAATATTTTTTTTTTTAAATTATTGATACTTTAAAAATAGATTTAATAAGTAATTTAATTAAAAAATGACCAATATACCCCTTTAGTTAACACCATTAACCCCAAAAATTAATGTTATAATAAAAAAGATCCCTTTTTAAAGAGTTAAAGGACTAAATTGGTCCTTCAGAAGAATTTGAGACCATATTGATTTCTCACAAAGAGTTAAGGGATAATTTTGATCATTTTCTCAATTTCATAACTAAGCTGGAAAAAAATCTATTAAAGGTGGAGAAAAGACAACAACAACAACATCAAGCCTTTATCCCGCTATGTGGGGTCGGCTACAAAAATCTGTTTTCTCCAGTGTGATAGATAAAATTAGAGAGAGTCGACTTAGATGGTTTGGTCACCTAAAATGGTGGCCTTTTGATGACCCAATTAGAAAAGTAGATGGATTAGATTTGACTTATGTTACGAAGGATAGAGGTAGACCTAAAAAGACTTGGTTAGAAAATATTAAAAATGACCTTTTTTATTAGATTTAAATGAGAATTTAACTTTTAACATGGCACAATGGAGAAAAAAGATTCATGTAGCCGACCCCACATAGTGGGATAAAGACTGGTTGTTGTTGTTATTGTTGTCTCTTGTTAAGAATCAAATTCTAATTTAAATCTAAATAAGAAAGG